ACCTTAATAATTACAAACAGCAGGATAAAATTGCCAGAGAATTCTAGAATGATCATGTCAACCTTTAGTAGAGACTATTCAAACATAAGTAGTGAAGATAGAATGCTAAACAAATGGATCAAAGACTGAATACTTTTCCCAATGGTTTTATTTTCATATTGGTTCACTTTTGTAATAGATTCCCCATTTTAGGTAAGATCTGTTGAGAGTAATTAAGCTAAACAGAAGTTATAAGTAAAATGATCACTAAAGCAACTCATATTTTAATTAAAAATAATACAGGAATTAATAATATATAGTATTTACTTAACTTTTGTCCAACTTCTCTTTATGTGAACTTTGTTTTTATAGAAAGCCATTCAGTATGTTTGGGAAATTGGTTTAAAATAATTCTAACTGTAAGAAAATGTTACATAAAGTATCTGAAGCTCCAAAAGGAAAAAAATAAGCAGTCAATTCTATTAGATATTCTTCCTCAAAATGATTATTATAGTCATAACAGTTCCTTCTTCCAGATTTTTGTAAATTACTATTATCTGGCACTGAGTTGTCCATTTATCCCTATCATCTCTTCTGCTAAAGTTTGGGGATTGACTTGTCTTTTATAAGAAACCCCTTTCTCTATATTTGATGCTTACTTTCATAGCCAAGAATCAAAATATTCCACTTGTATCTATCTTATGTCCTGTTATTCATACCTGTCCATAACCTTTTCCCAAAGACTAGGCAGTAATTTGATAAGTCACTGTGATGGGAAGAAATTAAAAATTAAAAAAAAGAGGACAACTATATTATTTATTTATGCACTCATTTAGCAAATTATATCTTTTTGTGTTTAGGACTGTTACTAGACAAACAAACAATAATAAATATGTACCTTACTTTCAAAGCACTTGTAGTCTGGAAAAGGAGATAAGATATAGACACAAATAACTATGACAGATTTGGAAAACAAAGTACCATAAGACTAAGAAATATAAGCATCCAGAAGAGAAATAAATCATATCTCTATATTATTAATCTAACAATGGGCATGATTAAAGATTCTTGGGATTTGAGAGTAAAGAAAATTCACTTCCTCACTATCACCTCCAGCTCCAGAGACATTTCAACTACCTACTAGACAATTTCAATTTACCACTGTATTTCTCTATTTGAACATCCTATTTGGATTTCAAACTCACTATATCTCAAATCAAATATATCATTTTTTTTCTTTCTAAATCATCTATCTTTCCTTATGTCTAATCCAAAGTCATTTCCTATTTATATTATTAAAATGGCTCTCTCTGTACATCTCAGTTACTTTCTCCCTCATTGCCAGTCAATAACATGTCAAATCAGAGTTTCTACTTCCTAAAAAGTTTTCCTGAGACCTGTCTTTTCATTTTATTGACAGACTCTTAGACTTATAATAACATTTGAACTATTTTCTTGAACTTTTACCTTTCCCAACTGCAACACTCAACCTGTATCCTGCTCACAGATTAATCTTTTCAATTTATAGCCCAATCATATAATTCCCATACTCAAACACATTTAGAGGCTCTAAACTAATAAACTATATGAGTCAATATTTCATCCTGGTATTCAACATATGCTGAGGCTGTATTTCTAAGCTCATTTCCCAACATGTATCTATGTCCAACCTGTGATTGCCTTACATTGCTAGTCTAGACTCTACTGATGTTTAATATTCCTATTCAGGAAGTTACATTCATTTGGAAGCTCCTCATTTTTCAAGCTTCATAGTTCATGATAATTTCCACTTTTATATGAAGACATTTCTGATGTCCCTACACCCCAAACTAAGCTGGTTGTGAATTCTCCGTATCACTCTGGATTTACCACTCAAGGCCTGCAGTGTAATCAAACTTAATAATTATTTGGATCCTCCTCCCTCTCCCACCTCCACTTCTAAGGCAAGGACTGAGTGATCTCTATAAACCTTCAACATTTAGTATAGTATGCCGGTCAGTGTGTATGATCTATTTCTTTTTCATAGATAGAATATTAAATCACTAACAAATGAATTTCTCCAAGCAATTAAATTCTTCTTCAGATGCTAATAAAGTGATGTTTGTTCCTGCCTGCAAATGCCTAAAACATTTTAATATTTCCTAAATTAGTGTAAAGTTCAAAAAGCAAATGGCACTTGAAGAGGCAAATGCTTCTAGGGCCTCTCTTTTCTTGGAATCCCTCTTCATTTAACTTTTCTCAGACCCAATAGTCAAAAGCTCATTGATCTAAACTTAAAAGCCAAAAGGGCTTAAAGCCACTGTAGGGATCTGTCAGAAATATATTCAGAAATATAATTTAGAAAACATCAGGAAAGAATGACAGTTCCTTTTTAGGAACCTCCCATACATAGCTCACAAAATAGCTTTCCAAATCGGAAATTGTAAAATATTAGACCACCAACCAAGTAATAGAAAGTAACTCACTGCCATGTAGAAAGATTCCTTTCATTTTCACAAGGAGCACAAAAGACTATATTGTGTTTATTTAAATCTCAGGCTGATAAAAGCGGCAGAAAGAAAAAGAAAGCAATCAATTTCTCTAAAAGATCATTATTTAGAAATAAATTGCTATGCAGAAAAGCATGGATCTTCTTGACTACTTGTGAATTTAAGACACGAAATACTTCCCTCCTCACCTCCAACAATCTGCTAATGAAATATGTTACGCATTCTAAGTTTGGGTATAGAGCTTTGAAATCAATGTGTTTCCGGTTGCAGGGGTTGTGGGCAGGAGGGGCGGGGGAGAAGAAACATACTAAATCAGCTTAGGAAATGCTTCATTTCCTGCCCCATATCTGGGAAGGAAAACATAAAACAGGCAGAACCAGGTGCAACAAAATCATACACGTGGCTGGGAAAATCTCTCCAACTCCTAGGCACCGCCCAGGTGGTCAAATTATGCTCCCAAACTAGAGCTTTCTTTTCTAAGATAAATGTAGTGGTTTTTATAAACACTCGCTGAAAGTTAACCGATTGGCTTGTTGATAGAGGTTGAAGAAGATAGCCATTATGTAACTGTTGTTTGGGCTCCAAAGGGAAATTATCTGACTTGGGTAAATAGTTCATTAGAAAGAAGACACCGTTAACAGAGAGATTAGGCTCACTATCGGAGAGCTAACGGAGATTGATTGGTATTTTCCCAAAAATGACCAGTTAGAAAAATCTGCCAGGTCATCTCTGGGTTGTCCTTTACCTTTCCATCTTCCTAATGCCTGGATTTGGCAGACTGCTTCTATTGATCCTATTCCACTTTGCTTTCAGAAAGACAGGTAATTCATTCAGCGTTTAATGATGCCAGGAAAGTAATGTCCTCACTGATGCTCATGGACCTAAAATGGTCAGCAGCCCAGCCCAGCCTTTCAGAAAGTGTACTGACCTGACACCCGTGTGTGAGCAGTGCTTTTCTTGGCATCCAGATTCCTATTAATCCCTCCTGTGCATACTGAAGTGTTACTTCTAAGGGAGTATGAGTGCATTGATTTCTGTGAGACCTCATAAATATTCTTTACTTTAAGAAATCAGATTCTTAGCAAGTCTTCCAAATCAATTTTATGGCCTTGATAGTCATGGGAAACTTAACCCTGAAAACTTCAAGATTCATGGCAAGCCATCATATGTGATTTATAAATATAGTTGAGAAAGTAATGATACAAGTTTTTTAAGACAGAGTGTGCTTATTTCTTTCTACATTATGACTGGATATTCAAATTTTATAGGAAGCAAACTTTTTAAAAATATGTTTTATTGATTGTTTTACAGAGAGGAAAGGAGAGGGATAGAGTGTTAGAAACATCAATGAGAGAGAAAGATTAATCAGCTGCCTCCTGCACATCCCCTGCTGGGGATGTGCTCAAAACCAAGGTGCATGCCCTAAGGAGAATTGATCCTAGGACCCTTCAGTCCGCAGGCCGACGCTCTATCCCCTGAACCAAACCAGATAAGGTGGAAGCAAACTTTTTAAAAGAGCACTAGCAAAATTAAATTAGAACTGAGGTGTCCTCCCATCACCACCCAGAACTCCTCAGAATCAATCTTTCCCACCTGTGTTCTTCTATGACAGTTTGTACTTTGGTTTTGCCATGTATTAAGTCTGTCTTGTATTAGACTTACATGCTTACTTATCCCAAAAGCACATTCACCACTGTGGGCAAGAACAAGGTCTTGCTCATTTTTCATTCCTTGCCCTGCTGAGAACATGGTAGGAGCCTAATAAATATTGATTAAATTTAACTGCTTTCTGTGAATCCATCTGAAAAGGTTACAAGTAAAATGTAATAATTTGTTTGCAACTAGTCATTGATATTCTTAGAGCTTATGTAGGTACATAGATAACCTTTATCTGAGTTTCAAAACCTATAGTCAATGGGTAAGATTTTTATGAATAATCCCATGAAATGTTATGAGGAATGCTGTGTGTAGGTATGTGCATATTTCTGGAGCAAATATCTATAAACTTTAATCAAACAAATCTCCTCTTTACCGACCACATATTCTCAAGATATTATAGTTCATTTTCCTATATAACTTTACTCAACTTCTCAATTTATTAAAGCCTAAAATAGTAGGGGCACATATACGCCAGCATCTTCCATGCAACATTTCCAATTATAGCCTTTCACACATCAATGAGAAGCTTGTGTTTTCTAGACCCATGTCTAAAAAGAGACCATTTTAAACCAGCATTTACTCCCCAGACTTTTATTCTCTAAAAAGGTCATTCTATATTCCCAGGACCTTTATGATACCATCAAGGACACTTCAAGGCCCCTGGAAGAGCAAGCATTTCCCTTCAGTGAACTCAATCATCCTCTCTGTACAGCCTTCTCTATGCACTCTCAGTCAACTGCCACACATGCCACTCAGGAAAATGAATCGCTGCCTCTAAGTTTCAGGGGGAGCTCCCTGATGGTAAACTGAGGCTAACAGCCCCTACAAGGGACATCTGACACACACCACCAGAGGAGTAAGAGAAAATGGTACCTTGGTTATCTTCACTGCTGCCAACGCTGGTCAGAAGGCAAAGGACGGCCACTTGAAGCAGTTTCATGGTGCCTGTGGACTGTCGCAGTGGCTCCTCGCTCCAGTGTCAGACAGGGACAACTCCCTTCCAGCCTGGCAGGACCTGATTAGCAAATGGAAAAGGTGTGCTGACTGCAAACAGCCACTGCCCATTCCTACTTATTTCGGGGGCTCTGATAAAGAACGAGAGGAAACACACACACTCCCTCTGGGAGTTCAGCAGAGAGGAGATTTATTGTTTCAGTCCCTTACAGGAACTTTTTTTTTTTTTTCTCTTCCTTTGGCAGCCACTTGTGTTTTTGTTACTACATTATTTTGTTCTTCTTCAACAAAAAGGTCAGGGCGGGTTTTGAACAGAAACAGATCTTTCTTGAGAATGGATCATACAGCTTTCTAACTTTTGTTTTGAAAGTGCGTTTTGGGGTGGATATAAAGGGACCTCATTGAAGAGTGACTCAGTTTGGATAAAGAGGCTTTAACTGCGGAGAGTTAAATTTTAGAGCAAAATCCACAAGGAATCAACTTTTCTTCTTTCTTTTCAAATGGAAAGACAGATTAGCAAAGACCGCCTCCCAAAGATAAGTGCAAAGCCTTATTAAATAGGAGCATACTCTGTTCTAAGAGCAGAGCTTCTTAGGCTTGCCCAGGGAAGTGGCTCAGGATCATTCTACTAGAACCGAGCAAAGACATATAAATGTGCACTGATCATTCCTGAGTTTTATTGGTGGACATTGATGGAGAGAGAAGAAAAATTACTTATAATAACCCGGATTCTCTTCTCCATGAAATACAATTGGAATGCCACTGATTGGGATGCTCTAGCAGCAAATCAGTGAGTTTGGGAAGGAGGAATTCTTCAAATCAGAATGCCAGGCAAGCTAGATACTCTGTATATCAGGGATCTGTTTGATATTAGTAGCGATTGATTAAAACATAGTGAGTACACAGCCCCAACACTGGCTTCAATCTCTGTAGGCTGTGCTGATTGCCCTTTGATACACCTTTAGGCATAAACAAGACTAATGGTGCATCAGTATAGATTCATTGGCTACACACACACACACACACACACACACACACACACACACACAAAAAGCGCTATTCCAAAATTATACTTTTACCTGTTTTTAAGGAAGACACATTGCTCTGCTTCACAGGGCCAGGAAGGCCTCATTCTAAGAGGGCTTAGAGCAAGTCAACTAATCAAAACACCCCAGAATACTAGTTTCATCCCAAGTTATGTCAAGTCCCAAAAGGGCCTCCAAATTCTAGTGTATATAATCAATACTTAATTTTATAATTTTTTTCTAATTAATTTTCTAAAACAAACTACTTTTGGAGTTGTTGCTTTATTTGGCTTATCCTGGAGAGTCTAAAGATAGCAATAATGTGAATAGATGTCACATGCACATTCCAGAAATACGTTGGGGTGTGGCCATGAACTCACAGTGGAGTACTCACATTGCCTCACTTCCTGCTCCTTGCTCTGCTTTATCTCTGGAGTTTTCAGCACACAGAGTCACCACTGATGTTGGCCACAGTCATTGTTATGGATTCAATAGCATTTTGAGTTTTCAGCCCTGACTGTTAGGCATTTCATGAAAAAGACTAGATACCTATTCCTAGAATACTTGATAAAAATATTATGTCTATCTCTGGCCAGTGTAACTCAGTGGATAGAGATTCAGGCCAGGTGTCAAAGGGTTAAGGTTCAGTTCCTGGTTAAGAGTATGTACCTGGGTTGCAGGTTCGATCCCCCATCCAGTGAGGGCATGTGTGGGGGACAACCAATCAATGTGTCTCTCTCACATCGATGTTTCTCCCTCCCTGCCTTCCCAACACCACATTGTATAGGGTGTTCTAAAAAATGTATACCTAAACTTTGAATAATTATAAAGGCGGTGTTTATTAAAATACATTTTATTTTCAAAATTGAGCTATCAGCTGTTAAAGTGTGTGTACATTTTGGGGGGACACTCTATATGTTTTTGACTCCTTTGTCAAATATTAGTTAACCATATTGGTGTGGGTTTATTTCTGGGCTCTCTATTCTGTCCCATTGATCTATATGTCTGTTTTTATGCCAGTACTATGCTGTTTTGATTATTATGGCCTTGTTTTGATTATTTGATTATTAATAGTTTGATATTTGAGTAACATGATATCCCCAATTTTGGGTTTGTTTTTTTTTTGTAAGATTGCTGAGGCTATTCAGGGTCTTTTGTGGTTCCATATAGTTTTGAATTATTTGTTCTAGTTCTGTGAAATATGCCACTGATATTTTGACAGGAATTTCATTGAATCCATAGATTGCTTTACGTAGTACGGACATTTTAATAATGTTAATTTTTCTTATCATTGAGCACAGTTTACGTTTTTAATTATTTGAAACTTTTTCAATTTCTTTCTTCAGTGTCATAATTTTCCAAGTACAGGTCTTTTATCTCCTATGTCATTAATCATCAGAGGTATGAATTAAAACCACAAAGATATATTACCTAATAACTGTCAGAATGGCTATTCAATAAATCAACTTACAGCTAGTATTGGTGAGGATTTATAGAAAAGGGAACCCTAGTACACTGTTGGTGGAAATGCAGATTGGTGCAGCCACTATGGAAAACAGTATGGAGGTTCCTTAAAAATTTAAAAATAGAACTGTCTTATAACCCAGCAATTCTACTTCTGAGTATTTATCAGAAGAAAACCAAAACACTAATTTAAAGAATACATACACCTCTCTGTTCATTACAATAGCCAAGATATGTAAATAATTCAAGTGCCCATCAATAACCGAGTGGATAAAAAAGTGGTAGCATATATAATGGATTATTACTTGGACATAAGAAAGAATGAAAATTTACCATTTGTGACAGCTTGCATGGACCTAAAGGGTATTATACTAGGTGAACTAAGTTAGTCACAAAAAGACAAATACCATATGATTTCACTTATATGTGGAATCTAAAGAACAAAATAAATAAATTTTAAAAGTTGGAACAGAATAATAGATACAGAGAACAGACTTATAGTAGCTAGTGGAGAGCGAAATTGGGGAACTGGGTGAAAATGTAAAGAGATAAAGATATGAAAATTGGTTGTTTACAAAATAGTAACAGGGATGTAAAGTAAAGCATAGGGAATGTAGTCAACAATATTATAATAACTATTATGGTGCCTGGTGGGTACTTGAAAGATCAGAGGGAACACTTTGTAAAGCATATGATTGTCTAACCATTATGCTGTACACCTGAAACTAATACAAAATAATATTGAACATAAACTGTAATAATAATAATAAAAAAACTTCTCTCACTTCTCACCAACTTTCTATCCTGATAGGAAATAATCTCTTAAGACTCTTGATACTTGAAGGCATGAAAATGGAGATGGGGGATCATAAAGCACAGTCTCACTGAGATGAGATATATAGGAAATTCTTTAATACAAATTCTTACTGATGTTATTATCATTTGTCAGAAATCCCACTGTCAAATGATGAGTGAACCTGCATGTCAACAGTTGAAATGACTGGATCTCATTACTCTGTGAGGCAGTCCATTCTTCTGTTGGACCATTCTCCTTGTTACAAATTCAAAAATTTTTCTTTATCCTTATCTGCCATAAGAAGCTCTGCAAGTCACTGAATAAATTTCTTTATGTACAAAACTAAACTTAAGTGTATTTATTCCATTAATCATGTAAGTCATATGAATAAATAAATTAGATTTTTTCCAAGACTTTTTAGGGAATAAGATAGCTTATAATGTATTCAATTATATCAAATAAAGCACAGATATGGTAACCTCCTTGGAAATCTGGAATATGTAAATAAACTAAAAAATAAACAGACAAGTATAAAGTTATTCAATAGTTTTCTCAATTTTCCATTTAGCTCAGTTATTGCCATATACATCATGTCCAAGATTTCTGTTCTGATGTTTCACTTTTAGTGTGCCAGAAATAGTATCTTAGGGTAATACTCTTTTCTTTTTGTCAAATGGTACCTATTAAAAGTTACTGACTGTGTAGTATATGCCAGGGATTTTTTTTTATAGATATGTTCATAAAAAACTGTGACACATAAGTGTATACCCTGAAAAAGGTATACACTTAAAAGAAAATGCCTACAAGAGGGCTCCCAGTGGCCAATTGGCTTCATATTTAAAAATAACAGAACCTAGCAGCCATTTCTACATGGTGAGGGGGATGAAGGGGAAAGGTTCTCATGAAAACTGCATTTCAAGGAGAAGCCTTCACTAAACTACCTGTCTCTGCACTGAACCATCAGACTGCACTGTGTTTCTGCCACCTGAGCCAGCCCTTATAAAGGAGTTTCTGAAATCCTATCTCAACCAATAGGACTAAGGCTTTCTTCACCCAATCAGATCTGTGCAGCTAAATCCCCTCAGTTTCTTCACCAACTAGAGAGAGGCTCCATTCCGACCAATCAGGAAAGTGCCCTTTAGGCCAAACAAACTGTGAGGATTTAGAGTCCTCATTTACATGAGGACTAACTAATCAGGGACCAGGATTGAGGACTTCTGTCTATATTGGTCAGCACCCTTCTGGATCTAAGAGCAACTTTTCCTTTCCAGTGAAGACGGGAGTCTGTGTTTTCTTTGCTGGAGCTGATACACTGAAGATGGGACACAGAAATCCCTCTGGAATAGAGCAGAGCAGACCAGGGAGGAGCAGAGCAGGCTGTGGTGGGGCAGGGAGGTGGGGGGGAGGCGTGGGGTAGGCAGAGCAGATCTGGGAGAGGCAGAGAAGACCAGGGAGGAACAGAGCCGACCACAGAGCACAGAGGAGCAGAGCAGAGCTATCTAGCCAGACAGGGGTCTGGCCCCAGGGGCGCCTCCTTGCCTCGGGGCCTCCCAACAGCAGGGCTGTTTTCACAGCTGTGCTGTATCATAATTGAGCTGTTTGCACTAAATAACTTTCTTCTTGTCTGCACCTCAAATTGGGGAATCCAGTTGGTGATGAACTGACAATGCCAAGGACCTTAGGTTGACAAAGTGACTAAGT